AAATCCCTCTTTTGATGTTGACCAGTCTGTAGCTTTCACTTCCAATAAAAAGTTCTGTTTTCCAGGACTTCATCGCATTTGCAATAAAAGTACCAATGCACTTGCATATTCCAATGACGCCCAGGCACTTGATGTAGTAGTAGTAGTAATAATAATAATAATAATAATAATAATAATAATAATAATAATAATAATAATAACAACAACAACAACAAAACAACAATAATAATAATAATAATAATAATTATTATTAGTAGTAGTAGTAGTAGTAGTAGTATTAGTATTAGTATTATTATTATTTAATCTTTAGTAAGATTCACAGCCTTTGAGGCTGGTTAATAGCTCAGCAGCTCAAGTCCTAACCTAGGAACTGTTAAGGTATTGTCAGAGGATGTAAGCTGTTCCGAGTAAGGTAGTTTTTTGTAGAGTCAAAATGTTCAAGTCCGGTAAACTTAGAATTTCTAAATAGCGAGGTAGCCCTTTAGGTATTGCTCCAAGGGCACCAATTACAATCGGGACAAAACACGATTTCTTTTTCCACAGTCGCTCAACTTCAATTTGCAAGTCCCAGTACTTTGTGATTTTTTCTTGCTGCTTATCTTCAATCCGTGCATCACCAGGTATTGCAATGTCAATGAACCATACTTTTTTCTTTTCAACTATTGTTATGTCAGGTGTATTGTGGACCAAGTGCCTGTCAGTCTGAATCCTAAAGCCCCACAAGATCTTGAGTTTCTCATTCTCTAAAACTTTCTCAACCTGATGTTCCCAGTGGTTTTTGCTGTACTCAAATCCAAACTTCTGGCACAATTTCCAGTGAATGATCTTAGCAACGCGGTCATGGCGTTGTAGGTAGTCAATTTGTGAAATTTTGCTGCACCCACTGATCAGGTGGTCGACTGTCTCATCTTTCTCATTACAGAGGCGGCATTTGCTGTTGGTGGTAACATGTTGATTTTTTGCCTTCATGCAGTTTGTGGCTAGGGCTTGTTCTTGAGCTGCCAGAATAAAGCTTTCTGTTTCTTTTTTCAGTACTCCTGATCTTAACCAGTTCCAAGTTAGTTTCTGGTCAGCTTTGCCTTCAATACTTTTCAAGTATTGGCCATGCAGAGCTTTGCTTTTCCAATTTTCAGCTCGCTGCTCAATTACTTCTTTCTTATATTCTGCTTTTGTTTTAGTTGTCTTTAAAAGGCCTCCTTTATTTATTTCCTTAATCATTGGTTCTTCACTTTTCTGGATGTAATCATTCAAGCTGCGTTTTTCTTCTTCCACAGTCTGCTTTACTTGTAGGAGTCCTCGACCACCCTCTGCTCTTGGTAAATATAATCGGTCAACATCACTTTTAGGGTGCAAGGCATGATTCATTGTCATAAGCTTCCTTGTTTTTCTGTCCAAATTGTCTTAACTCCATCTGGATCCAGTCAATTATTCCTGCAGAATATCGAATCACAGGTATAGCCCAGGTATTTATGGCTTTTATGATGTTTCCTCCATTCAATTTGGACATTAATATCTTACAAATTCGCCGAATGTACTTGGCTGAAGTTAATTTCTTGACTTTATTATGCATTAAGTCAGAGGCTTCTAAAATCCCCAAGTACTTGTAACCTTCTTCTGATTTTACTGCCTTTATCATTTCTTCATTCTCTAGTTCTATTCCATCCTCTTCTATGATCTTGCCTGCTTTGGTTGCTATTGTTGCACATTTGTCAATTCCAAACTGCATACCAATGTCTTGGCTGAATTCTTTTGTGTTTTCAATTAATAAATTCAGTTCAGCTTTTGTTTTACCAAACAGCTTCAAACAGGGTGGATTTGATTTAAATCGAGTTGATTTAAATCACAATTTAAATCATGATTTAAATCACTAGTAAAAAGGCTTGATTTAAATCAACTCGATTTAAATCATAATTTTTAAAGAGCAACTGTCATCTCTGCTACTCCTTTGACCCATTGTTGACTCACCGATAGTCCCAGTGTTGCAAGAATATACAGCCTCATGCTACATAACTAAGCTCCATTTCATGCTGAATAAACTAAATTATTTATGTATCTTAAATAGAAAACTATCTTACAATAGATTTTTACCCAAAAAGTTTTTTATTAAAATAAATTCGATAAAAATCAAAAAAATCCAATTTAAATAAAAAAAAATCCGATTTAAATAAAAAAAATCTGATTTTTTGATTTTTTTAAAAAAATCATTGATTTTTATCCACCCTGGCTTCAAATCATCCATGTACATCAAGTACGAGATTTTCAGTCCTTTCTTTGCAAGTTCGTATCCACAGTTCATCTTCTTCAAAATGATTGTCAGTGGTAGCATTGAAAGTATAAAAAGTAGGGGTGAAAGGGAATTATTATTATTATTATTATTATTATTATTATTATTATTATTATTATTATTATTATTATTATTATTTATTATTATTATTATTTAATCTTTAGTGAGATTCACAGCCTTTGAGGCTGGTTAATAGGTCAGCAGCTCGAGTCCTAACCAAGGACCTAGGGACTGTTAAGGTATCGTCGGAGGATGTAAGCTGTTCCGAGTAAGGTGGTTTTTTGTAGAGTCAAAATGTACAAGTCCAGTAAATTTAGAATTTCTAAATAGCGGGGTAGCCCTTTGGGTATTGCCCCAAGGGCTCCAATTACAATCGGGACCCCTTGGGGCAATACCCAAAGGGCTACCCCGCTATTTAGAAATTCTAAATTTACCGGACTTGAACATTTTGACTATTATTATTATTATTATTATTATTATTTATTTATTATTATTATTATTATTATTATTATTAATTATTATAACAGCTGAAATTGGGGTAGATTTTGCAAAAGAGTAAATGACTTATTCATATACTTAAAATGTTTGTTTTACTTTTTATTTCATTTCAATGGATTGTGAGCAAGGTGCCATCCACTGGCCATTAAAAAACAAAAGAAAAAAAAAGATGTTTATTTGCAAAAATAATTAGATATGGCTGTTTTGTGGCTCCAAAATGCCAATCATCACTCCCTGTATTGTAATTACCTATTGTGGATCCTCAGTGAGAAACAATAGATGTTAAGGATTTATAATGCAGTCACCTGATCTCCCAAAGAAAAACCTGCCCAATATCGTGAAACCCAAGGTTGAATGAACTAGCTTCTAGAAAAATCAAAATTCCTCTCTTGTAAGAAGGCTCTCAATTTCTTCTCACTGTGATTCTTGGCAATAAACTGATAGGAAGAAGACTTTTAAAAGGTTTAGGATGTGGCATTGCAATTAATGCCAACACAGCACAGGAATCTTGTTTGAAAAGGAATAGTAAATTAGAACTACCTCTAGTTTACTCTCAGCAAGTCTTATGTCCTATTTTCCCATTTTACCTCAAATAAGTCTCCGCCTGCCTGGAATCCTCACATTTTCAAAACAAGCTTTTTGAATGGGAGAACTATAACTGTACTGCTGATTACAGGTAGTCCCCATTTAACAACCATTGCTGAGGAATTGTTCAAAATTATTATGAGACTGAACAAATGGTATGTATAATTGGTCCTTAAAGTTAAGGTTCAGTATCCTCATAATCATATGATCAAATTTGGACATTTGGCAACCCACCCAAATTTAGTTGTACACTTCAACTCCCCCCACCCTATTTTGCTGCCCTTTGGCCACTATGCACTCCGCCATTACCCCCAGCCCTGCAGCCACCCCCACTGACCTTCACAGTCTTCTTCCTACTGCTGACAAGGTGCACCCAGGGAAGGCAGCTGCTGGTCCTTCATAAGGCCTTCACAACAGCTACCTATTTTCCCTATCTCTTTCCTTTTTGCCCTCACACAACAACTTATTTCTGCCGCTCCCTACGGACCTTTGATGTAAAAAAAAATTTTTTTTTGAGTGGAATCTATTAATCTAAAGTCGCCTTTCCTTAACATGATGTCCTGCTGATGCATGGACTTTGAATCCCAGAATCTCAGCAATGGCTCTGCTGACCAGACAATTCTGGGAATTAAAATTCATAATCCAGAGGATGACTAGGCAGGAAAGACTAATTCAAAAGTAATGAAAAATTATAATGCATCCTTCAGCAATGCTAAATGAAGTAGTGTATCTTCTACTATCTAAACAATTTAGCAGGATCAGGCTTAGTATTTACATAGAGACTATTTGGAAATAACAGGGCTGGAGGCTACAGTGGAGTTGTAAAAGATTTCAGAAGATGGCAACAGCAAATTACCTCCACATTGTTGTAGAAAAGTACTTGGGCATGTCCCTGAAGCCACTAAGACTCAAGCATGATTCAAAAGAAATTTATTTAATTATTATATACTATTAATTTTGATAGATCTTTGCTCTTTTTTAAATTAGTTTGGACCCTTTGGTAATTATAAATTAGTGTTATGGTGAAAACCTGCCTCACTTAAAGCAACCAAATTACTTGAAGATATAAAATAATTTTATTTGCATGCATTAAACAATAATACAATATATACTGGATCCCCAGCAAAATTTTGATACTTTGCTGAGCAGCCATGAATCCAAAAGCATAACCAAGTCTACAGCCCACTACATGGCAAGAGAAAGGAAGCCTAAAGCAAAACAAGAAAACAGTAGACAGAATGTGTGACATCACAGTGTGATGTCAGAATATTTTAGAAGAACCCACTCATGTGACATTATTTATTCCTTCCTACTAAATCAACATGTTAGTCATACTGTATTTGTGATATGGATAGTGAATAGAAAAATTTGGTTCACTACATCACAGGTTCCTGACTGTCCTCTCCCTGTTGTCATTCAAGATCAATTTAGTTGTTGTGAATGTTTTCTTACAAGGGTACTTTAAGGAGAAAGCAGAAGTAATAATAACAATAATAGGCAATAAGTAAAATATGATGCTATCCATCCATTTCCTTTAAAAATCTAATTTAATTAGCCATTTTATTCTAAATTGAGCCTTTATTATCAATAAAAACATTTCTAATATTTCAAGGATTTAATAACATTTTCTTACCTAAAGACTGGTAGAGCTCTGTCATTTTGGGATGATCCCAGCAAGTAGTCTGTGTCTCATGACTATAAGGCAAAAAAATGAAATGAAGAGTTTTAAATGTTTAAGCTTGCATAACTCCTAATTACACTCCATCGTACATTTTCATAACTGTAAAGTGTTGTCATTTGAATTTCTTTACTATAGTAATAGTAATGTACATAGTAATGAACAGCAAAATAATCATTTCAGGCTTACCAAAAATTGCACATCAACATATTTTTCCCTGATACCAAAGTATCATGAGAAGCAACCTTATTAAGTAAGGCAGATCTCTAAATCAGCAGTCCCCACCTTTTGGGCACCAGGGACTGATTCTGTGGAGAGAGCTTTTTCTGTGGACTGGAAGGGGTGTGGTTTCATGTGCTGCCTGCATCCCGTGAATGGGGTTTTGCTTGTTTGCACGGAAATTTCTGGCATACCACGGACCGGTCCAAGGATTGGGGACCCCTGCTCTAAATGATATTATCTAGGGATCAGTTAAGAGGGACAACACTCTCCTGGAATAACAACAGTACTATCTGCTGAATGGAAGGCTTTAATGAGACTGTTGCTCAGCAATACACTAATTTATTACATTTTTTTATAATAAGACGTACATATACAGGTAGTCCTCAAGTTATGATCCAGACAATCAAGGTTGCTGTCATAATCCCAAGAGTGAGGGTCATTAAATGGAAAGCAATAGGAGTCCCAGGTGTGCTTGGGTGCTGCAGGGGGAGGCCCAGTGCACACCTAATTCAAGTTGGGGAGGGCATGTGCACTGCAAGTACAGAGAGGCCAAGTGAAGGAGGATACTGGTTGATGCAAGTACAAAGAGACTGAAGGAAGTAGAGTGCAACATGAGCATATGCGAGTGCAAAGAGGCTAAGAGAAAGATTCCATGGTAGGGAGGCCCATGAAACAATAGTATCTGCAAGTTTAGGGAGGCTGAGGGAAGGAGGGTATGGGTTGGTATGAATTCAGGGAGTATGGAAGAATGGCTCAGTGTGGTATGTAGGAAGGTGGCAAAGACTTACCAGAGTGACTTGCAAGCCTCCCCTCAAAGTTTCCCCATTGATTTTGCTTGTGGGAAGCTGGTAGGGAAAGGTTGCAAATGATAATCACCTGACTATAGGTTGCTGCAACTATTGTGTGAGAAGATTGCAAAGTACCTGAATTACAATTGCATGACCATGAGGATGCTGCAAAGGTTAGCATTTTAAGGATGAGCAATATGTACTACTAGTTCAACACTGTCACAACTTTGAACAGTCATTGAATGAGTGATCAATAAGCAAAGACTGCATGTACAGACCATTCAAAGTTATGATAGCTCTGAACGAAGAGATGTATGATTGGTCTCGAACTTCTAGACACTGCAGCATCCCTGCAGTCATATGAACAAGATTTAGGCAATTCACATTTGTGATCCTGGGTGAGACACAAAATGTGGCCATGGGCAGTGTGTGAAAAGAAGCTCTGGCTGGCATGTGAACAGAGGCCCTGGATGGGGCATGAGAGAATCCCCAGCTACACTAGAACAAAAGAAGATAGCACAAAGGAAAGCTCTGGCCAGTGCAGTAATGGTATGTTGTGTGAGGGCATGGTAGGAGCATGTGTAGCTGGCGGCAGTGAGTAAGAGACAAGGGAGACATAGACCATGAGGGAATTCAAGAGTAGGCAAAGGAAGCAGTCCCTTACCTTACTAAGGGTTGGGGCTGGGAGGAATCAAAATGTGAATGGCTTGGATTTGGGGGGGTCGGGGGTGTCCTTGCCTAAAAATCAATGAGATTTGGTTAATTTAAATTTGGTTAAACCAATTGTTAACTTTGGTTAACAATTGGAACTGCTAGAATTGCCATTGCTTAGTGATAAACTCAATTGTCATTGCTGTCGAGTCCTACCGGAGCTCGCCATCAATGGAGGGTGTGGGAGGAAAAGGAGTGGAGATAAGCAGCCGCAGCGAACACACAAATAGTTCCTGGATAGCAGCATTCAGGGCGATGATTGATGACGTTGCTGGGCCTCTCCGATTCTGCTGTCCTCGCTGCTCTGGTGCTCGCAGCTGTTACTGTTAAGGGAGTGGGGGGTGCTTGATTGATAATCACCGGATGTATGTTTAAGGGGCTGAGTTTTTGTTAAATAGCACTGTGGTGTGATTACACCCAGCGCTGACTTTGAACCAAAACACCGACTTGTACTTTACTTTTGACTGCAAGCTTATCATTGCCAAAGTAAACCCTGATTCTCTGTGCGTTACTGGTGATTATTTCCTATCGCAGTTCTGAACGAACGACAAGGCCGAGAGAAAGTCAGCGCTTGGTTCCTTTTCGCAAGAGGTGAGGAGTCCCTGTGGCTTTGCAGCAAAGGGGGATATGGCAGAAGGGACAGCCTTGGAAGAGCAGGAGTGTGGTGGAGATGTGGAGGGCTGGAGGGAAAGACGATGGACTGAGGAGGATGAAGGGGATTGGGGGTATCCTGCCTCATCCGGTCCCAGCACCATGGATATGCTACGTGAGCGTTTTGGGGAATCTGGATTTCGTGACGCCCCATCCTGGCAGCCCTGGGTTGCAGGGCTGGAGCCTCCAGGTTCTTCTTGGCAGGATACAGGGGTGACTGCTTCGGAGACCCAATTCCGGCTCACAAGTCCTAAATTGAGGATGGAGCGGACCTCTAGACGATCCATGGACCAACCCCCTCCAGAACAAGACCAAGGTGCCTCGTCGGGAGACCTTGGAGCCGGTCCTGAGCCCCAACCAATGCAATTGGCAGGGGGCTTACCTGTTGGGAGTCGCAGGGCGACGAGGGACCGACCTAGGCAGGACAGGAGAGCGACTGGAGCAGCGAGGTAGAGATGGATCCCAGAAAAGGATATCCTATAACACAGGCCTCGTGGGTGGCAGCACCCGATGTTCACGCTGCCCGATTGATACAACGGTTCCATCGGAAATACCCAGACAAACCTAATACAGGATCGTAACAGTGACTAACATTTGTATGCTTTCTATTTATCGGTGAGCTCCCGGTAGGGGGGGCCGCCTGTCGAGTCCTACCGGAGCTCGCCATCAATGGAGGGTGTGGGAGGAAAAGGAGTGGAGATAAGCAGCCGCAGCGAACACACAAATAGTTCCTGGATAGCAGCATTCAGGGCGATGATTGATGACATTGCTGGGCCTCTCCGATTCTGCTGTCCTCGCTGCTCTGGTGCTCGCAGCTGTTACTGTTAAGGGAGTGGGGGGTGCTTGATTGATAATCACCGGATGTATGTTTAAGGGGGCTGAGTTTTTGTTAAATAGCACTGTGGTGTGATTACACCCAGCGCTGACTTTGAACCAAAACACCGACTTGTACTTTACTTTTGACTGCAAGCTTATCATTGCCAAAGTAAACCCTGATTCTCTGTGCGTTACTGGTGATTATTTCCTATCGCAGTTCTGAACGAACGACAAGCCGAGAATTGCATTTTATGACTTCGCTTAGCTCACAATCACCATTGTTAACCAAGGACTATCTGTACATACATTCAGTAAGGTCTGAAATATCAAAGATTGGGATGTGCCTACTGCAGCACGTAGAATGATACAAATATCAAAGTTTACCCCAGTTTGGTATAATGCAAAGGCACCAGTTTTGAAAGTGGGAGACTGTGTTCAACTCTTGCCTTAGCCATAAAAGCCAACTGGGTGACTTTGGGCCAGTTACCCCCTTAATCCAATCCAATTCAACAGGGCTGTTGTTGTGGGGAAAAGAGAAGGAGGGAGGTGTGGATATGTTCACCAATTTGAGTTATTTGTAAAATAATAAAGGTGGGATAGGAATAAATTCTTATATTAGGTTGCAGCATACCACCTTATGTTTCTTGATGACTGACTTAAAAGAAAGGAACACAGCCTCAAATTAGAAGGTAAATATGCTACCTATATAATGTAGACAAAAATCTCTTTTTAGGAAAGAAAACTATAATAATTAAGCTATGGAAGAGCAAGGGATGAAGTATTATAGATTTTTCCAAATTATCATTAAAAATTGTAAGGGAGAATACTGTAACTTTAATTTGCTCCCAGAGGAACAGTTTTGCTTCTTTTAGACAATATCTGCAATAGACAGAAGAAATAACATTGAGGAAAAGTAGCAAATAAATACCGGTAAGTCAATGGTGAAATAAAAGAAACCTGGGCCCAAGTAATCTGAGAAAACATCTGAGAGAAGAATCCACTAACTCACACAAAGATAAAGAGGGGTGGGGTGGGGAATGTTAATTCAGACTTGCAAGATTCTGTTGCTATAAAAATGATATTACCATGCATGACTTTGGTTTCCTACTCTGATCTACCTTGAAAGTTGACAATGTCCAATTATGACTGTGAGAGAGGTAGGTTATCTTAATTGTTTTCACAAAAATGTATTTCTAACAAATGGAGAAGCTAGTCTTCTTAATTCATCTGAGTTATCGGATTAATGGGACATCTGATAATAATAAATGTATCTGCATACATAGGTAAGTTGAACATACATTTTCTTCCTCCCTGATATATACAGAGAATTAAAATAGGAAAATCAGTGCCATACAAGCAGAACGGCTGAGTATTGACTTGATAGAATATGGGAGATCTCCCACATATTCAAAAAAATATGAAAGAAAGGTGCAAGAAAGGATTAGCTGAAATTAGATTATTTCATGTGACTATCATTGCCTTATCCTAACTAGTATTCTTCCAGCAAACAGCAAGATCTGAGTAGGATCCAAAAGGAAGCATACATTTCTGCATCAAACATGTTATAATGAGATGCTGCTAAACCATTCCTTATCAGAGCATGTAATAATTTTAAGAGTACTTATTAAATTTTATCCTATTAAAAATAAAAACGCTATAAATTTACTCCCATACTAAAGTTTAAGGAATGTTTTCTGAAGATCTTATAAACATGAAATTTAACTGTAACTGGAAAGAATAGATTTTACTCTATACTCAGAGCATAAAAAATTGGAGATTTATTCTGCAAGCTAAAAAAGTGTTTCTTCTTTCTGAACATTTTTAGTTTA